AGAAGGGGAACATGAAGAGGTGGAAGGGGAAGATGATGACGGAAAGGAGAAGGAAAGGAGGAAAGCTGGAAAAAAAATAAAAGAAAATAAGCCTCAGCAAAGGCAAAGTAAAAGTAACAGAAAGGAGGAGAAGAGAGAAAGTTCTGTACGAAATACTAAACAGAAAGTAAAGTCAAAACATCGCTTGGTGAATGGATTACAAGATTCACAGCAGTTTTGGAACAATGTGCTACCTCATTATTTGACACTAAAGTAGTACAAGCCTCTAGAGATATAGTTAAACAAATTCACTAGGAAGCTGTAGGATTACACTATGGTATTTTTTATCATATTTTTCTAAAAGATTTTTTCAATATAGTCACATATTGAAATGTATTAAATACTTTAAGTGCCAGCTTCTTGAAGACCTGCAGGAAGTACTAAGTTTTGTTGACCTTTATTGGACCAAATCACATTTTGAGTTGTTGTTTTATCACTTCTTTTCAGTGCATAGCACTAGTAAAGATGCAGACAGTGATCCCTGAAGAGAAAACATTGTTCTGCCATACACTAAATCGAAATTTTAGGATTTTGGCATGAATAATGTAGTGTTAATTGCCTTCGAGTCAAATTATTAAGAAGAAACATTTACTTTTGATTAGAGGGTACCTAGTATAATGATGTGCCTTATATACATAGAGGATCAGTAAATCAGTTTAGTTTCAAGAAATATAGTAGTAGTGTGCCCTTTTCTCTTAAATTTCTCTTACGGCTGTGTAACCATTTATTCATGCAGACGGCACATTTGTTAGAATATTCTGAATAAATCTAAGAAAGGACTATTTGCCAAATTTATGTAATCAGCATACAGTTTCTGTACATAGAAGCCTTGATTTTCATAAAAAGCTTCAACTTTGCCTTTGATTTTGCTGCCAGCATACAACTGCGTAGTGAAAGGGTAGATAAAAAGTCAGAGGCCTCTGAGCACCTGATGCAAAATGCATTCGAGTCCACGCCTTTCTGATTAGTGACAACAAAAGTCTTTAATCTGTACCAGTAATTATAGGAAGGGCCTGAAAATAAAGACCCATAAATTTTTTTCTTGCTAAGCACTGTCGATGTACTCAGTATTATACAAATACAAAGAGGATGCAGCCTGTTCCTGACAGAGCTCACTATGTATTAGTTAGGTACACAATGCTTTTAGCTGGTCAGGAACTGGTTGGCTCTTGAAGGCCTTGATTTAGTAAATGTACACAGGTGCTTAACTTTACTACTGTAAAAAGTACCACTTGGTAGTAAAATTAAGCACGTGGATAATGTTTGCAGCATTGGGGCCTAAGAATGAAATCTTTGTCTTTCCCTCTTAAGAATCATTTTAATGACCTATTGCAGAAAAAGGTAAGCCAAAAAACTAGATGGAATAGCATAGACATTGGCATATACAGCTGAAAAAACACAGATTTGTTGGAATTTCTGAAAAGTTTGTTGTTCTCCTAAACTCTGAACAATGAAACGTCTTTATACAATTTATAAAACTTTTGGCAAAGAATTTTTAAGATAAATTTACTTGACAGGTGATTTCACTGATATTGAAATGGCCTGGCTAGTGGGGGGAAAGAAGTGGATATTTATACCAGTCATCATTATTATCCTCAGTTTTTGGATACTATGCCAGTAGAAGCTATAAAAGACGATTAAGTAAACTGATCTTTACTGGCCAGCCCATGGAGTGCTTATGACAGACTCTTTGTACATGGGGAGAAGTAGGATAAATTAATCAAAAGAGAAAGAAAAAATAACAGATTTCAGCAATAAAAATATTGCTAATAGTAACATTTCATTTGCATTATAAGCATTTTTGAAATGTTGTTTTGTAATGTGTTTATAT